ACACCGACCACCCGACCTTCCGTCCGTCCGCACCACAGGCATACCAATGTTTAATCTCACACTTTCTAGCTAGTTCGGGAGCCTGCAACCTGATATTAAACATCCATGTTTTGATTAATTGACAGCTGTCAAAACAGTGTTTCTGCTGACCAGTATCGCCTGACCGTATCGCGGCCTCAGGTATCGACCCTCTGAGTTCGAGTAATATTTTGAAGGTATTCGCTGACAAGTTGCTACTTTTCAAATGATCGCAGGCTCAAGTTCAATTTTTTTAAAATGCATATGAAATAAGTCGTGTTTCACGAGCCGCACTTTTAAAATGTTGATTTCGAACTGATCTCGGACACGAAAATTCAACCGGCTTTTACATTTACATGCAGGGAAGGCAATCGCTTTTGACTTTTCTCACTGTCACGCGTTGATCACGCTCTACGTCCAATTTTTATGTTCTGATTGGTCAAAATTTTATGCGGAAAATTTTTGCAGCGTCTGGAAACTTGCTTACTGATAGCTGGAGCTGAGAGAGTTTTGTGTCATCTTGTGATGTTTTAAACTATCTTTTTCTACTTGGTGTACAAAATGAAATACAGCTGCTATCAAGATTGTTCTGTAATTCGTGGCTGGTTTGTTTATTGCGCTTTTTGTTGACAAATGCACCGCTTGTCAAAGTCATTGGAAATCTGATTTCGGATGGCATCGATTTCAAAAATGAGCTTACTCACTTGCCCTTGCTTGAGGCGTAAGAAGGTTGAAAAGTCTCAAGCGATTCTGGAACACTTGATGACCTTCAGAAGCAGCATCTCGACTGGTAAGCTTGAGCCATTATTGTTTTTGATGTTTTTTTTTTTCGGTTTCCTGAAGTCGAGCGTATGGTTTATGCGGCTTAATTAAGTTAAAACACGAGCAATGATCTAACCTACAATAGTATCAGGTTTAAAAAGCCTTTAGACATATTTTGACCCGCAAATTCAAAGAAAAGGTTCCGAAGATTATTTAGTTATGATTTTGGCTGTAAACAGAAAGCTCTGAGCGATTTTCTTGCCTCGAGTTCATCTTGAAAAAGGGCGAACATCGGGAAGCCGGCTTAAAATATAAATAAGCTTATGCTTGCCAGACTCATTATTTTCTGAGACACTTTACTCTCAATACTTCTCTTCGTGAATGAAAATTATTGTCTCTGTACATGTTTCACCGAATTAAACTTATTTTATTGATTGTTAGTAGTCCCTCTCGCAATTTTCATCGCTGCACCGGTTGTTTCCAGTCGAACATAAACATCGCATGTAGGAATACTCAAAACGCCGCGCGTAAATATCACTCGCTTTTAAAGATTACACATAACAAAATCATACACAGTTTAATGAATAAAGGGAAACAAAACCTAAACATAACAATTTCTCTATCATGTTGAAGCGTAAATGGTAACTCTATTAATCGCACTGCAAATTTGGTGCCTGTCAAAAGTGAGAACCCGTCCGGCTGGCCGAAAAGTGATTTTGGGAATTTTTTTTATCATTTTCATTAAAAGCCCATAATTATAATACCCCGCATATCACATAGGACCAGATTTTTCTAACAGAAAACGTTTTATAATTCAATGCTATAATTTGTTTTGCAAAGGAAGCGCGTGCTTTGATCGTCGTGGATATTGAATGAGTGCAAATTCTCTTGCAAAATTGTGAAAAACTGCAGAATTATAGGTTTAAATAGGGCAAAAAAGAACATATTCTGTCCGAGGTCTGTGTACTGTTTACCTGAGACGTGATGAGAAAAAGTATGTTTAAAAGGCTGGTTTACACGCCACCAGATTCGTCGCCAAGATTTACTAGTAAACTAAACTTGTCGAACACAAAAAATCCGGCCTGATTTTTATTTTGGCCTCTCTTTTAGACAGGGGAATGCAACGAGTAAATTGGCTGCCACCAAGGACTATCGTGGCGCATGTGTTTCTTAAAATTATATTTCGGGGTTGTCCAATTATCCATAGTCTCTCTAACGGAGCAATGTTGGAGAGACTGGTGAATGCCACATTATGATGCTACAGCTAATGCAAATACAATACACGAATAGGTCTATTTGTTTTCCAGGCCTAATCTACTGTGATCGAACATGATTGCTATTTTTCGGTGTACAAATAACTTGAAGTAAAATTTGTTTCACTCTTGGACGGTCAAATTCTGATTTTTCTCTAAAATCACTCGGCCTTTGCCTCAAAAGTCAAATGAATGTTCCCTGATCTGTGGATTACAAGTTTATTGCTTGATTTAAATTATGAATTTATTAACGGGAGCTTCGCTTTTAGCCCTGGCTAAATCTATATATTAACGTTTACTCATTTACGACGTTTCAAACTATGGTTGCCGAAATGTGTTAATATTCGATGTGGCGTATATGCGTTTGATAATTTCCACATATTGACAATAAAATTCAAATATATTCGATTTTGTTCAATACATTCGATAAACTTGTAGCAAAATTCGATAAATTCGCCTTGATATGCATTCGATTCTCTCCTACATTTATGAAACAATTCAAGCAATATTCATTCGATAATTTAAGCAATATTCATTCAATGATTCGAAAAAAATTCATTCGATAACTCAAGCAATATTCATTCGATGATTCCAGCAAAACTCATTCGATGATGCACGTGACCTTTCTTCCATATTCAGCGGATAGAAAGCTTGGCTACTGAGTTTTCAATGGCGGAACAAATATTGAATGGGAGCCTTTGGCGCTTAGCCTTCTCAATTTACTGGATAAATGTGAAATAGATTCTGAAGAGGTAACCTATCCTACCGCAGCCAATGCATTTATTGGCGTTAAAATGGCTCTTTGTGTTATTCTGGTGGAAGGTGTTGGCGGGCCAAACACGACTCATAAGTGTGATACTGATAGTGTGATACATGACCTTATAGTTTTGCTCTAACGAGGACCGCTCCCAGCAATTTTGCTCTTTTATATGAAATGATGAGAGGCTCGGTGTACATTTGTCTCTTTAGTAGTTGATCTTGAATTAAGTGCCATTTGCTCATTAAAATGTTTTTAAGGTTCGGCAAAGCAGGGTGGTACTTGGTAACGAAAGTCGCTGAAATTAGTAGCTGCAACTAGTGACCACAAATTCATAGGTTCGACTTCTGTGAAGAGTGCTAGGAGTTTTTCTTCCGAGCCACCTTAATTTTGTCATGCACTACAGACTGAAAATCAATCTGTCAATAAGCTTTTTACTTCACGACCCTTGAACATGAACAACCTGGCGAGGCTCCCTTGTGTCACTTGTAAAGAATCAGATTAAATGAACCATTATTTCACATGATGTTATTGCGAAAAGTATGGAAAAAATATCCAATCAATCTATGCAGAAGTTGTAGAAAAAAGAAAGGTAGAAACTATGCCGTTCACCTTAAGTTTGTCAGCCTTCAAAGATCTGCAAATACGTCAGCTCAATATTTATCTGAGCTATGCGACCTAAACGTGGCTTTAAGTGAAAATCAGACAAATGAATCAAGAAATTCATTGCTCAAAAACGTGTTTATTGTACACGCTCCGCAAACACAAAGTTATTATATAACTTTTTACTGACAAAAATACCATCATCATCCAACATCCAACAAATTTCGTGCCGAGTCAAGTTTTTAAAAAACAAAACTCTTCTACAAAGTTGCATGTAAACGAATGCGAGGTTAGTGCACCAGGCGAAATCCCATGGGCGTGATGTGCACAGTTTCTTCTCACCACTGTCAACCACAAAATATTTTTTCCAGCAAAACGACAAACAAACATGAACCAACAAATTAAAGAAACAACTTAACTAAACAAACTGGCTTGCTTGTGAGAGTTTGGGGTTTTTTTTTGGCGGTGGAGCCACCAGCTCTAGCTGGCAAGAAGAATGGGGCAGGGAAAAGCGAGCCTGCAGACAGGCTTTTTTTTTTTAATTTCGCCCCTTAAGAGGTGTCAAGATACTATCCAATAGGAACAAAGCAAAATGTTAACAAAAATGACAGAAAGTTGCACGAGGAGATTTTTGCGGAAGATAGCAAAATATAGTCATGAAAAAAAGGGGAAAAAGTCGTGACAAAACCAGCTAATGATTGTTGCCGAATATGCACATACTCTTTTAACGTCTAATCGCCTTATTCTTATCACGGGATTCGCTGGCTCCCGCTGGCGGCACCACCGCTTTGTTGGTTTTCAGATGACGTCACTAAAATTCAAACTACAAAACTATCGATCCTACTGAGATTTTACTTTCATGGTGTATAAGAGTAGCTGAAAACCAATTTTCAAACAAATTTTCGCTTCAAAACTTTCTTGGTTTTGTAATAGAGTACGCTTGAATTTCTAAGCCTTCGCGTGACGCAACATTTACATGACGGCCGAGAAAGCTGTCATTTAGGTTAAAAAAGTGACTTTTTTCGAGGAATTTTGTTATCTAAACAGTTCAAGTATTAGAAAAAGTATTACTTTAATGTTTATGAGTTCCTCTACGAGTAAATTCACGCTTTCGTAGCAAAACTCGGTAACAGATGTTTCTGTTGGTTTCCGTCCGCCATGTTGGAGCTCATCAGGATGAGCTCCAGGATGGCGTCTCCATACACAGTTCTATAAATTTGGGTAAAACATTTCCTCGGATATCTCGTACACGAATTATTCCTTCGACTCAATTCTTGGCGAAGGTCTTTGTATATTTACCTCCTTTCATTTCCCAGATTCTGGACTTTATCTGTCGAATGGTTTTGATTTTTATTTTGATCAATTTTGAATGGCGTGACACTGAAAACCAGCAATATAACCCCAAACTCGCACAAGTGAGCCTGTTTGCATCTGTTTGCATGCCTACGATAAACAAGCGGCCTATCAAATGCTATGATTTGGAACCGATTATAACGGACCCCTTAAAGATGTAACATACACCATAATTAAATTCGAAAAAATTTGTTGAATAGAAATGCGTTCAAATCAGGTTATTTAGTGCTATTGGCGGAGGGTTTTCGATTGCTTATTTCACCTGTGCAGTTAACGCCGTTTCCGATATATCCTGGTATGCATGTACAATTGTAAGAGCCTTTAGTGTTGTTACAGAAAGCATTGGAGTCGCAGTGATGCTTTCCTGTCTCACACTCGTTGATGTCTGCAAGATAGTAAATAGAATGCATTGCTTTATTTAGAAGAATACACTTTTTACTCAATGATTCCTTCAATCGTCTGTTGAAATCTTTCGTAGAAAATCATTTTGATGATTACCGTTTTCTTTGATTGCGTGCCACAATAAGGGAAGTAGCTAAGCCAGACGACACAGCACTTCATGGAAAAACTGATGGTTTGCTCATTATGTCCTTCCCTACCAACCCACAAAAGGGAAATGTGTTTTCTTTTTATACCTCCTTTATCAATCCCTGGATGAACGTAAATGTCCATACGTATTCTGAAATGTCATTCGTCTCCACCTTCTAGCCCGTGAAGGCCGCGGGGTAGAGAGACGCGCCCCCCCCCCCCCCCACGGGTCAGGGGTTGTAGACGTGTGTCATTTCAGACTAGTCCATACGCAGTTTTTCTGGCAATGCAGGCTTATTAGGCGCATACAAAACAATAACGATATCAGTTTTATTTGCACACTCCCTTAATTAACATTCCAGAAGCGTGGATAATCACTGGACAACAGATATCGACTACACAGCTGTAGATTATTACCACTGCAGACCGCATGGTTGGTGGAAAACCAACCAACCATAAATGAGGCTCGTAGTGCTAATGACTAGCAACTACGGTGGAACTATTAGTCCACCCACACTCGACACAATCGCCTACCTAATGAAGACCAGAAGTACGAACTTTTAAACGTCGTATATGAATAACTAAGTAACGACTATCGCGAGATAAACGATAAACTACTCTGCGAGCGGGCTTACTTGTGAGAGTTTTGGGGTTTTTTGGTAGTGGAGCCACCAGCTCTTGAGTTGGCAAGAAGAATGGGGCGGGGAAAATAAGCGAGCCTGCAGACGGGCTATTTATTTTTTTTTAATTTGGCCCCTTAAGAAGTGTCAAGGCACTATCCAATAGAAACAAAGCAAAATGTTTATAACAATAAGTTGGACGGAGAGATTTTTGCGGAAGATAGCAAAATATAGTCAGGAAAAAAGGAAAAAAAGCAGTGACAAGAACCGCGAATCCAGCTAATGATTGTTGCCGAATATACACATATTTTTTAACGTTTAATCGCCTTATTCGCCAGCTCCCGCTAACGGCACCGCCGCCTTAATATATAACCCCAAACTGGCACAAGTGAGCCTGTTCGCATGCCAACCATAAACAAGTGGCCTATCACATGTTGTCATGTTGGAACCGATTTTAAAGAACCCCTAAAGATGTAACATACACCATAATGGAACTCGAAAGAATTTGTTGAATAGAAATGCTTTCCTATCAGGTTCAGTTCAGAGCTATCGGCTGAGGGTTTTCGCTTCCTTATTTTACCTGTGCAGTTAACGCCGTTTCCAGTATATCCTGGTTTGCATGTACAATTGTAAGAGCCTTTAGTGTTGTTACAGAAAGCATTGGAGTCGCAGTGATGCTTTCCTGTCTCACACTCGTTGATGTCTGCAAAATAGTAAATAGAATGCATTGCTTTATTTAGAAGAATATAATTTTTAGTGAATGATTCCTTCGATCGTCTGTTGAAATCTTTCGCAGAAAATCATTGTGATGATCGACGTTTTCTTTGATTGCGTGCCACAATAAGGGAAGTGGCTAAGCCAGACGACCCACCTCGTCATGGAAAAAGTGATGGTTTGTTCGTTATGTCCTTCCCTACCGACCCACAAAAGGGAATGTGTTTTCCCTGCATACCTATTAACCCCCGGCTGAACGTAAATGTCCATACGTCGTCTGAATTATCATTCGTCTCCACCCCATAACCCGTGAAGGGCGCAGGGGAGAGAGACGCGCCCCCCACGGGTTAGGGGGTGGAGACGTGTGACATTTCAGACTAGTCCATACGCAGGTTTTCTGGCAATGAAGGCCTATTAGGCGCATACAAAAAATTAACGATATCGTCTTATTTTCACGCTCTGAATTGAGATAACAGCCGTTGAGATTTCAGAAGCGTGGATAACCACGATCAGACATCGACTACACAGCTGCAGATTAGTACCACTGCAGACCGCATGGATGCTGGAAAACCCACCAACCACAAATGAGGCTCATAATCCTAATAACTAGCAACTACGGAGTAACTATTAGTCCGCCCACATTAATACTCGACACAATCGACTAATGAAGACTAGAAGTACGCAGTTTGAAACGTCGTGAATGAATAACTAAGTAACGACTATCGCGAGATAAACGATAAACTAGTCTCCGAGCTGGCTTATTTGTGAGAGTTTGGGGTTGTTTTGGTGGTGGAGCCACCATCGCTAGCAGACGGCCTATTTATCTATTTATTTTTAATTTCGCCCCTTAAGAGGTGTCAAGATCTTATCCAATAGGAACACAGCAAAGTGTTAACAAAAATGACAGAAAGTTGCACGAGGAGATTTTTGCGGCAGATATCAAAATATAGTCATGGAAAAAAAGTGGAAAACCCGTGACAAAAACACGAATCCGGCTAATTGTTGACGAATATGCACATATTTTTTAACGTGTAATCGCCTTATTCTTATCACCGGATTCGCCGGCTCCCGCTGACGGCACCACCGCTTTTTTTTTGGACGGAGGGGGGGTTATGGTAAAACTAATGGATTGTTCGTTGTCCTTCCCTACGTACCCACAAAAAAGAAATGTGTTTTCTGTGTATACCTCCTTTATTAATACCCGGATGAATGTAAATGTCCATAAGTCATGTGGCGAAACTAATTTTGTACACATCTTTATCCCTAATGTGCATTTCAAACAGAAATCAGAAGTTTCTGCAGCAAAAAACTATCTTTCACAACGGCTTCAGCGATTATTTCCTATTGTGCTGGAAAAGGGTAGCTTTTATTCACGGACAGCGATCAGATGGTCGGCAAGAAATTCGACCCTCGACAAAAAGATAGACCCTGTTTCTTGCACGTACCAGCCTCCCCATGGGGCTTTTGTTGCCACACAGAGTAGGAATTAATGAAAATGCTTTTATTCTTCTTATCCAGTCCAGTCCAGAGTCCATTCCAGTCCAGAATTTCCATCTGGCTGGATAGGTGTTGACATTTAAGCACGTCTTAACCTTACGAGATCATTATAGGGTAATTAGCTTAACACTAACCAATTTCACATCGATTGCCAGAAAATCCAGGCGAGCAACTGCAGTTGAATGCATTGATTCGGTCGGTGCAAGTTCCGTTGTTTAAACAGGGTCTGCCCTCACACTCGTTTATATCTGAAGGAAACAATAATCAGAAATATAAATTGCAAACAACAACAACAAAAAGAAAGAAACAAGAAACCACTTTTACGGAGGGTTCTTTACTGCATACTGACTTCAACGAATTGAAACTTGCGAAAGAAAGCTATAAATGCCAATAAATCTCTTCTTCATATAAAAGCAACAACAAGTGAACATGCAGGACCAACACCATCAGTTAGTGTATAGATTTTCAAGCCGATAAACAATAAAAATAACAGCTAAACACACAGCTCACCAATTTCACATCGATTGCCCGAAAATCCTGGTGGACAATTGCAGTTGAATTCGTTGCCTCGGTCGGTGCATGCTCCGTTGTTTAAACAGGGACCGCTCTCACATTCGTTTATATCTAAAGGAAATATAACAAAAAAATAACGACTAAGATAAATGCGTTAGTATTGGCCAAGTCTTTTTTTTTTTTTTTTCGGCATTTTCAGGGACCGAGAGGAATTCGAGGTCAATAAAATTGCAAAATTGAAATTAACATACAATTATCCATGGCCAGCGGACCCCAGAGTCTCCCGAATAAAACGATTGTCGGATGATGTCGATGATGTAGGATCCATGTAGGATCGGATTTAAAATTGATCCATATATATTAGTTATCAGCATTCAACAGTATCCAACATTAGGTGTTTAAACGGGATACATAGCATGTTGCGTTCTGGCGGAAATGCGATGCAAATAGCAGCAATTAGTAACTAACCAATTTCGCATCGGTTGCCGGCAAATCCTGGAGGGCAACTGCAGTTGAAGCCATTAATTTGGTCGATGCAAGTTCCGTTGTTCAAACAAGTAATATTGACACAGTCATTTATATCTGCAGGAGAGAGAATCAAAGATACATATATATATATATATATATATATATATATATATATATATATATATATATATATAAAATGATAATTATGTATCTTTCAGCCAAGGTACATTAGACTTCAGCAAGAGTCAAAATACCCAACTATTAAATGTAAACGTTGTTCTAGAGGTTGATGGAGAAGGCCTGTCTATAAATAAGTCACTTTATCGATCAAGCAGGGAAATTGAAATTTGTGGTCAGGTAACGTGAAGTAAAAGTTCAGTGTGATACTTATTGGTCGACATTTCTTTCAAGGTAGATTTCAAAATCTTCTCAGTTAGATTTTTTTTTATTTTAGTGAGCTCAAAGAAGCAAAGGTCAATAATATAATACCTAAAATCAGTACAAAAGCTTTATGCTGATAACCGTTCCCACTTGCAAAGTGCGTTAATTAGTGTGTCACCTGTGATTGTATTACAGTAAGTGGCAACATTGTTTCAACTCAGTATTTCTTACTCGTTTCGCAGTCTTTTCCGGTGAATCCTTCCACGCAGATACACTTATATCCATTTTCCTGGTACAAGGAAATGCATTTTCCAGTGTTCTTTCGAGAGTTCTTACAGGGCGAACTGTCACAAGGAGACTACACAAAGGAAAGGATACGGCTGTAAGTAAAGACCTTGATTTTATGTCAAAGTCAAAATATCCAGTAACGTGACGCATAACATTTATCCATATTAGACAGATGCTGAATTTACGGCAAATTCAGTTATTGACTTTCGTCGACCAAGTTGAGCCCCAAGTTTTAGTTACACGTAGCATTAAGAAGGAATCCATCAAGAAATAGAGTAATTTCAATTTTTAGTGGACAAAAAAACCTGGTACCAGAATAATTTGAATTTTTTACATTTTTCAAGGGCTATTTATATACAAGTTAGTTAACTGTAATAACAACAAATACTATTTTTATGGGAGCCCGATAAATAAATGTCAAATTTTCACAAAAATTGTGAAAACAAAGGTAAAACTCTGAAAATGTCATGTGTAAGATGCCATTTTATGAAATTTGACGTTTATTTTCTCGTCCTATCATAAGAAATTTTCTTTGGTGTTATTACTCGTCTAGCTAATTTCATCTTTAGTCCTTTAAAAATGTAAAAACAGAATGCCATATTGTTTAAATTATTCTGGTACAAGGTTTTTGACCACTGAAAATAAAAATTACTCAATTTCCTGATGGATTCGTTCTTAACACAATTATTCCACCTGCCGGTTGTTGGATATGGGCTGGCTCAGTAATCATCTCAGACGGAGCAAGTGCGAGTGGAATAATTGTTTTCTTCAGTGAAAACGCCCACAAAATATCGATTTATCTTCCGGACTTTATTTACTTTTTAGTTAGCAAAAATGTTATTAGTCATATCCGTGTCTACGCGAACGGACTGATGAATAAATAAAAAAATGAATGAATAAATACATAAATAAATAAAACATATTTATTTAGCGGTGAACACTTGCAAAAATTCGTCAGGATTCTACTTTGTTCGACAGCTAAAAATGATCGCTGATGATATGAAATTTGAATTGCATATTCAGCGCAGTTACAAGCTAAAAAAAAAAGCTAAAATTATCTTCGGTTGGCATGTAATAAGCTCGTTAAATACACAACAACTCTCTTTGGGGTTCTCTGGGTCTTCATTGCCTAGACCACGCGCGATACCCTCAGGGAGGGAGGGATGGGACAAGAAAAGCTTACAATCGTGTTCAACGCATCAGCTGACCAGAATCGCATAATGACTCACACGTGGCAGCAGCTTGCATATATACATGGGCTTGACGCTGAACTTCCACCACATGTATTTAATCCTGATAAACAGGTTTATCACTCACTAAATACACAACAACTCCCTTTGGGGTTCTCTGGGTCTCTATTGCCTAGACCATCGCGCGATACCCTCCAAACCCCCAAAGAGAGAAAAGGGTGAGTGATACCCTGGCTCATCTGTTGGACAGCCTCTAAGTTGTAGCGTAGTGAATGGTCTAAGTAACGCTCATATGCAGTCGATTTCCAGTCATCTTGTAGCTTAATATAATCGCTAGGCACGCCGCAATGCAAGGCAAATGAAGCACTCCCTCGCCTGAAGTAGTGTCCAGAGAAAGGCGAGCTATCGTAGCCGCAGAGATCCAGTGTTCGTTTCAGTTTTGTTGTGAATGTGGTATATGTCAGTGTTTTAAGGACACCTTCCTCCATGTAATAAGCTCGTGTAATTATATATATTTTTTAAACGAATTTTCTTTCGGCGCCACATGAGGACCTGAGACGCTTGTGAAATATGCAAATTTTGTCAAAATTCAACCGATTGCTCCGCATAAAAGAGTGCGACCCAAAGCTTCCAATTTACTAGTTATTTTAATTGAGCCCTTATCTTTAAAATAATACAGGTCAGAATCATCAACACCTTTTCGTTTAGAAAATCGAAGGAAACACACTTAGCCCCTTTGACCCACTTAGCGAAACATACGATTTTAGCCAAATTCAGTGGATTAAATCTCAAAAGTGGCTCACTCCCCTTACAGACTCTCCTGCGTATCATTGTGTAGTTCAATCCTTCAGCTACTGAATAGTGTTAAAAGTTTTGGCGGCCATTCAGTTTCGGTCGAGGGGTGAGTGGCGAAACTTGCCTTACTTTGCCATTTCGCCGGTGTTTCGCCATCCTGAAGTCCAGAAGGATTGTCAGAATAGAAAGCGAGAAATCGGGTATATGCCACTCGAAAATTGTCCATTCCTAAAGACTGCATACTTTCAATCACTGTTTTCCATGTGGCTATGGTTTTAACCCAACGCCAAAACTTTTAACACTATTCAGTAGCTGAAGGATTGAACTACACAATGATACGCAGGAGAGTCTGTAAGGGGAGTGAGCCACTTTTGAGATTTAATCCACTGAATTTGGCTAAAATCGTATGTTTCGCTAAGTGGGTCAAAGGGGCTAAGTGTGTTTCCTTCGATTTTCTAAACGAAAAGGTGTTGATGATTCTGACCTGTATTATTTTAAAGATAAGGGCTCAATTAAAATAACTAGTAAATTGGAAGCTTTGGGTCGCACTCTTTTATGCGGAGCAATCGGTTGAATTTTGACAAAATTTGCATATCATCTCAGGTCCTCATGTGGCGCCGAAAGAAAATTCGTCTAAAAAAATTTACAGAAGCGAATTTCTCCAATCTAGTTTCACATTTGTTATATACTTATTAAAAGAAGTCTACAGAAAAATTATGAGCGAAATTCATTTTGTGGGCAAAACTCGATATGAGGATCTTACAGAGACTGGCTCTTAATACTGTATCCTTTGATGCGTAGATGCTTAAAGACCAACTGACGAATAATAAGGATTGGATAGACAAAATTAAGGCGAGGCTCAATTCTAACTAGCCTTTTTTATTGTTTTGATAGTTAACAACAACAAGAACAAAATGATTAGAACGCGGGAGGTGAAAGAGAAATAGCGAAAAATTCCAACTTTAATTCTTTTTTATTTTTTACGGTTTAACATAAAATATTCTCGAAACTGAGAATGTTTTGATCAAAGCTGTGTGAATCGAACTGAATCAGTGTATGGAACCTTGGTTTCCTGTTTTTATCTCGCTTATTGTATGGAATATGTGTGAGAATCTTCATTAAGAGTCGGTACTTTTCAAAGAGCTACACAATGACCAAGAAAACTATTGACCAACAACATATAGAACGGGGGCAGCTAGCTGTAGTGACAACTATTACTAGTTTAGATTTGACGCACTTATTCGTATTACTTGCTCTATAATAATGCGGCGTGATGCTTTTAGCAGACTTTTCCGTGCTGTTACAAAATATTATTATTCATTCAAAATATTTCCCCGATTCTGATTGGCTAAAAGCACACGTTTAATTCACCATAACCAGTTACTGATGACCAAATTTGGAAGAAATTAGATTTTAACGAGGAAATGACGTCAAAAATGCAGCTTTTCGCAGGTTAAGGCACCGTTAACCGAGAACACCTGGGGACGAGGTTGAGTTGTTTTGGTTGTGAACTTGAAAAAATGGCGGACATTTCACTCGTTTCAAGAGTAAGAACTAGGCGAAAACATAACTAAAAACATGGCAAGAACGAACAGCAAGAAGACAACTCGAAGGGCGACATCTGCTATTTGGAGAATATTTGAGGAGCTGGACAAACCTAAACGTACGCTATCGAAGATGAACTGAACATCGATGGATCGATGGAGGTAAGCATGTTTTAGCTATATTTTTAAACTGGGAATTATTTTGAATGAATAATAAAACAGTTATTGAATTCGGCTTTCGTATCATATGAAGAATTATGGATATCTCGGAGGGTGTTATCCGCCTCGGCCTACGGCCTCGACGGATAACACCCTCCTCGATCTCCATAATTCTTCATAAGATACTCAACCTCATTCATTAACTGTTAATTATAGCACTGCCACCGCCATTAGAAATATGCCTCTTTTCATGGTATTCGTGGGGATTTCCTTCCGCCCCGCCGAATATCTTGCAAAGAGGCCTTTGTTGGAAGGAAAGCATTAAAAGGGCTTAAAAGGAAAAAAAATCGGGAATTGGTAAAACTGATTTGTAGCGCAGTCACAAAAACAGTTCACAAAGAACAAAATACGAACTGTTTGATAATTACAGGTGGAAATTCTAGCTTTAAATGCTAGAGGTTTTGGAACTGAACTCAACACTGTCTTGTGAACTTAAAGTTTGTGGCCATGCCACCGAATTTAAAAACGTACGTTGTGCTGATGACAGTTTTGTTCAACAATCCGAAAATAAGTTGGACAATTATTGTAAGAGAAATGGGAGATAGTCTATTCGGCATATTACGATAAAACAGGTGTATCAAGTTAATGGCGGAAGGCTAAAACAATAAAGGGGTATTGACGGCAAGCCGGCTTTTCCTTCCGCCCGCCGAATATCGTGAAAAGTAGCCTCTGCTGGCAGGGAAGCTTTAAAAAGGCTTGGAAAAAAAAAAAAAACATCGGGAATTGGTAATACTGATTTGTAGCGCAGTCACGAAAACTGTTCAGAAAGAACAAAATACGAGCGGTTTGATAACTACAGGTGGAAATTCTAGCTTTAAATGTGCGTTCCTATGGTAATATCAAACAGGAAAGGCAAACACTATAGAGCGAATAAGTCCCCTTGGTCTCACAGGTTATTTTATTTGCATTGCTTCAACAAGCCGGCATAAATACGAATTTGCTGTATTAAGTGTGTATTCCAGTAGCTTATTTGTGTTGCTATAATGGTATTATATCAACTATAAGCAGGACAAGAGACACACTGTGATAATGGAATTAAATTAACCTGGTCTTAGTTCACTTTAAGTAAAGAAAACTAGTCGAGCAGTTTCCTTGTCTTCATTAGAAGAGGTTAACAACTTCGACCCTTCATCCCTTTGTATTAAGTTATGAAATACAAGTTCGCTTGAATTCTAGTTCCTTCTTCCACTTTTAGTTTGTTTCCTATTTTCAGTGATGTCATTTTATTAATTATTAAGAACCGACAACAGTGTACAATATATTTTAACTCAGCTTATTCAAACAGGGCTCAGATGTGGACAGCCCAGCCATTCGTTAGAGGTTTTAGAACTGAATTCTTTTTTATGAGCTAAATTTGTGGCCATGTCACCGAATTTCAAGACCTTGTGCTGATGATGACAATTTTGCTCCACAATCGAAAATAATTTGGACAATTTTTGTGAGAGAAATAAGGGATAGTATATCCGGCAGATTACGATAAGACAGGTGTATCAATGCAAGTTAATGGCGCCGAAGGCTAAAACAATAAGATGTATTGAACTTTGAGTAATTTTCAAGGCAAATATGAATCTTGAATTTGAATTTGAATCTGCCTGACATTCGAAGGTAATAGCGATTTTAATTTCATAAAGTATGTCAGGGATTGTTTCATTAGAAATAGGCAGGCGTATTACTACTGGAAAACGCTCTTGGTGTTTTTTTTTTCCCCCCCCCCCCCGGCTCCCCTTTTTCATGCCTTAAAGGCAAACTCCCTAGCAAACTTGTTTTTTTTTTTTTGCATTTGAAGCACAGTTCGATCAGTGCATTGGAGACTGATTCTCCAAGCAAAGAGATACGTGAGAGGGTTATTTATTATCCTTCCAATGAAAAAGTTGTGATAAATAAGTAGTTTGACTCACCGGAATATAAAAATGATGAAACTCTTTGCTGGCGTTGAACGTATCCGAGTTGTTATATTTGTCCGATGGGAGGAGTTCACACAGAAGTTTGCCGTTGACATCAGGGAAGGCAGCCACGTTGTAAGAAAAACACGATGGAATTTCTAAACAGGCGTAGCCACAATCGTTTTCTTCTTGAATAAGATTCCGCGAAATACTTGTGATATTGAGGTAGGAAAATTCATTTATCATGAAGTTCACATAGACAAAGTTGTTAATGGAACCTTGGCTGAAAGCTGTTCAAAAGACAAAGGGAAAATGGTGGCTTTAGGAATGTACCGAAAAAAATTAATATTTTCCAAAGGAGCCAGACTACTAAAAATATAGACTGCTTGAACTCAGGTTAGAGTGTTACCTCTAGAAACACTTGGAAGTGTAGTAAAGATCCCTATTACGAAGACATAGTATCTAAGAAGTACTTGATAGCCTTCCAT